AAAAAAAAAAAAAAAAAAACAAAAACAAACAAACAAAAAAAAAACACCAAAAAACAGTTTATAGGCCAGGCATGGTGGTGCTTGCCTATAACCCAGTACATAGGAGGCTGAGGCAGGAGGATCACTGTGACTACATAGTGAGTTCAAGGCCAGCCTGAACTACATAGCAAGACCCTACCTCAAAACACAGAAACAGACAAAAAGGTTTACCAAGAGATGGAAGTTATGAGGGGAAGCAAAGGGGAAGTTAAAAGAATTAAGAGGTGTTATGTACGTGGACCCACTCTCCATGAGAAATGTGATCAATACATACTACAAACATGCACTAATAAAAATACAAATGAAAAAATAAAAAAGAATGTATTCTTAGGACTCCCATACTGGGCTTCCATTGTAAATGGTGTCTACATACACTTCTTCACTTGGGGTAGCTCTGCAGTTTTTGTTGGAAACCTTTAATAGTGACAAAAAATATCAAGGAAGGCCTATTAGAAATAAGAAATTCTAAGCCAGTGATTTCAAACCATCTTTATTAAAGTTCTATTTTTAAAAAACTTTAACACTTCGAATCCATTGAGGACCAGTGTTTATAAAAACCATAAAACTGAACCACCGCTGCACACGCCTGCACGGTCCCTTGCTTGTCAGCACCCACAGTCGGTGACACACTTATCTTGCCAGCACCTCCCCCAGACAGTTGGCCCTGGTGCCGGTTGCTCAGGGCTGCCGATCCTCGGCTAGCTGAGTCTCAGGCAGCCGGCCGGGTGGACAGTTCCCATGGCTGTGGTCAGAGGAAATCTGGGCCAGAGTCAGCTGCAGCTGTGACGGGTCAGTCAACTGCTCTCCACACCTGTCTCGGACTTCAGCAGGGCTGGCGGGCACATCCAGGGCTGGACCCGCTCTGAGGAGCCTCTCCACGAGGTCAGCCTGCGCTTTCTCACAGCATGGTGGTCTCCAAACAGGAGGATTTCTTGCACAGCAGCTCACTGCCCCACAGCGCGTGCTTCGAAGAGCCACGCTGGAAAGCCAGGCAGAGTGACGCACTTCGGTGACTGAGGAGGCTGAGGCAGAAGGGTTGCTGCAAATTCAAGGCCAGCCTGGACTACACAGTCAGTTGGATGCCAGCTGGAATGACGTAGCAAGTCCTTGTCTGGCAAAGAAAAGAGAAAAGAAGCAAAGTCCTGGGGACAGAGCTCAAACCACCATGGAACTCAAACTTTCAGAGCACTTGCCTAGCATGTACAAGGCCCTGGGTCTGATCCCCAGAGGAGCCAAAGACCAAAACAAAATGAAACAAAACTCCCAATACAGCATGTGTGTGACCAAAGTATGCTTTATTATGACAGACGGTTTGCAGGTATTTGTAGGCATAAATTTCTGAAATTTCAAATCACTATCTTTTTGTTGTTGTTGTGTGATGATCTATTTTATAATGTAACATTGTCCTTGCCAAAGCAGGTTTCGGAGGCATCCCATACCAACCGCAACTCTATCCTCTTCCTGGCTATGAAACTTGTATAACGTGCTACGCCCTTCGGGTGTGAGACGGAATGTGCAGTTTTCTCTTCCTGTCAAAATTTCAGCTGGGGATTTAGCTCAGTGGTTCCACTGCCTGCCTTGCAAGTACAAGGTCCCGAGCAAGGTCCCCTGTTCAATCCCCGGTACCCCCTCCCCCCCAAAAAAATCTTTCATCTCTTCTTAGCTTAGCGCTCTTGTTTGTATTTGATTTGGCCCCTCTGAAACACATGCTGAAATAAGGTCCCGGATGGAGCAGTATTAACAGTGTGGGGATTTTGAGAGGCCATTAGGTCGTCCGAAGGGATTCATGCCTTTCATGAAGGACTGGGTTAATTCTCCTGGTAGTGGTGGGTTCTCTTCCGGGACTGGATCAGCACAGGACAAGCAGCTTGTTACGAGGCCAGCCCTCCTGTTTCACCTCTTCTGCACCGGCTGAGCACCTGTTTCACTGCCACCCTGGCATGGCTCAGCGGAAGCCAGGTGACCAGCAATCTTAGACATCTGTCCTGCAGAACCAGGGGCTGCACACACTTCTTCCCTTATAATCACCCGCTCTCGGGTCTGTTGTAGCAACAGAAAATGGATGAGGACACTAGGCATTTTGAGACAGGGTCTCACGGTGCAGTTGAGAATGACCTGGAACTCACTGTGTAGCCCAGGCTGGTCTCAAACTCACAGCGATCCTCCTGCCTCAGCCTCCCGAGGGCTGAGATTACAGGCGTGTGCCACCACACCCGGCACTAGGCATTTGCTCACATCTTTTTCAGGGATTCTTTTCTGATTGTCTTTATATTTTATTTCATTTGTTTGTTTTTTGAGACCATGGTCTCACTATGTAGTTCAGGCTGGTCTTGAACTCGTGGCAATCCTCCTGTCTCGGCCTTTCTAGTGCCCAGCTCAGCTCTGTGACTTTTTAGAGAAATTTTCTAAACTTTCAAGCCTAGTTCTTCTGCCACTGTGACAAACTGTCTTTTCTACCTGAGCCCCAAATTTTTGCAGTTATTACTGCAGCTGATACCCTTCCCCTACTACTCAGCACACTTCCCGATTGCTCCTCTAATTAGCACTCCGTTGTCAAGTCCTTCACCCATCTCACTCATCCTTAGTGCCTGGTAAGAATCCAAAAAGAAATTAATTTGGTGAGTGAATGAAATTCTCTGTGCTTCCATTTTCTTACTTACAAATTGGGAATCACAGCTCTTTTCTAAAGGAAAATTAAACCAGCCGGTGTGGTGATACATGCCCGTAATCCCAACATTCTGGGAGGCTGAGGCAGGAGGATAACAAGTTCCAGCCCAGTCTGGGAAACCTAGCAAGACCCTCTCAAAATAAAAAACAAAAAAGGGCTGGGGATATAGCTCAGGGCAAAGGCCCTGGGTTAAATCCCCAGTATCTCTCTCTCCCTCTCTCACACACACACAAAGGAAAAATATAGGTTCACTGAAATTAATTGAATTATTCTTGGTATCACCCACCATAAAACTACAGTGACCAAATCAAAGCTAAATAAACAGCTCACCTGTAGCCCATCTCAATTTCCTATCACTAAGATACACGATTAATTTACAATCCTAACTATGGCTGAAAACAATTATTTCAAAAATTACAAGTAGGATTTCAAATGTTCCCAACACAAACCAACAATAAATTCTGAGGCAACAGATACCTCAATTCCCCTGATGTGATCCTACACAGTATACACATGGCTTGAAATGTCACGCGGAATCTCATACTTACAGTTGCTATCTGCCGATAAAAATATATTTACAAAATATACAGCCCTGTGACATTTTTTCATAGTCTGATGGGGCCTTGCCTCCTTTCTTTTGCCTACATCTTGCCACACTTGTTAACTTCCAGCCCTTTTCCATGCCTTCAAGTGTCCTCTTGCCATGTTTTCCTAAGTAAGCCTAGAACATACGCCCTAAATGGTTTCCTGTCCCTACTTCAGGAAGTGGGTGTACATTTCCTTATCTCAGGTTCAAAAAATCCATTAGCCGCAATGGGCTTTCTGACATTGTTGAATCCTGCTTTTTTTTTTTTTTTTTTTTTTTTTTTCTACCGGGGATCGAAGTCAGGTCCATGCGCTTGCGAGGCAGGCGAGGCAGGCGGTGGAACCACCGAGCTAAATCCCCGGCCCTGTTTCCTCTTCTTGACCTTTCCATTTTATTTTATTTTCTTAGGGTTTTTTGTTTTGTTTTGTTTTTTGTTTGTTTGTTTGGTTGTTTTGTTGTTGTTGTTGTTTGGTACAGGGATCGAACTCCAGTCCTTGCGCTTGCAAGGCAGGCGGTGGAACCACCGAGCTAAATCCCCGGCTTTGTATTTAATTTTAGAAACTGCTTCTCCTTTAAGTCCCCTACCTATTAAGAAGAGTCAGAGAGAAATTGTTTTTAATTTTCAGTGGTGTCTGTTCGCAGCACACGGATCGCGCCCCTGGTGGGGATCGGTCCGTGTAGGTAACGCATCTCCATTCCCTTTTCATCTCTTCTCCTCCCTGTCCCCGCCATACCTTGGTCCCCTGTCCTTTTGCTAAAGATCTACCGCCCTGTTCACAGACAGGTTTAAGGTCGGCCTGACTGTCCTGGCCGCTCGGTCCACAGGATTTGTTTCCTCTTTGGACAGTCTCCGGGGGTCCCGCAAACTCCTGGGGCGCCGCGTGTAGCACGCAGCGAATTCTCCCCACACGACTTAGGCAGAAAGTCCCCAAATCTGGAATCCGAGCCACCCTTCCCGTCCACCCCGCACCGCTAGTTTAGGAAGACACCGGTCAAGGTCACCGGGGAGGACCCGGTCCCCCACCGGTAGGAGGCGCGC